GGTAGACCAGGAAGGGGCGGGAGCGGGGATGGGCTTAGGCAGCCGTGAGAGACGACTGGTCGGCAGTCCGCGGAAGCTGGCGGAATCTCCTCGACGATCCCCTTCCCCGCGGAAGCTAGCGGAAGAACTGGAAGGGAGGATGAGGTGGAGGAGGAGGACGAGGAGGATCAGGTGAGGAGGAGGAGGAGGGGGAACGCTTGCGAAGCAAGATCGCGAGAGCAGAATATGTCGTGAACAGACAGTGAAAAGATGCCGCCCGCAGTGTGACCGCCGTGTGGCAAGGGCAGGCGCTGCCAGAGTGGCCGCCACGCTGCCCGACGGTCGAGGATTCGAACGGCATCTCGTTCGGGAACCCAGAGGAGATACAGCCGATGCTCCGGGTGAGGCTCCTTCGGCCTCTGCTCCGGATGAGTGGATTGGTGGATGAGTGGATGATTATAGGAGTGGGCGAGTATGGGGGATGAAGTGAGTGGGCGAGTGGATAATGAGGTAAGTGGGTGAAGTGAGTGTGTGAGTGAGTGCCATGATGGGGAGGCTCCCCTTCCCCGTGCTCTACTTGCCTCCTCTCCTCTACTCAACGCCCCTGCGGTCCTCGCGCCTCTTGGCCCTCCTGCCAACTTCCCAGAGGTAGTCGTGGAGGTCCAGCGTGGCTCGCGCACCCTCTGGACCCCGCTCATCCACCGTCCCCACTCGCTCATCCACTCATCCCGTCATCCGCTCACCCACTCACCCATTCACCCCTTCGTCCCCTACTCGTCCCCACTCATCCACTCAGCCACTCACTCAACCCACTCTGCCTGAGCACTGCCTCTGGGCCGCTCGCCAGGCCGGGCATGGCCCTCGCAGGGGGCTTCCTGTCGCGCACGAACTTCTTCGTGGGGATGTGCTACTCGTCGATGAAGGTCCCTGACGCGGGCAAGGGCCCCCACCCCATGCCGCAGCCGCTCGCCGACCGCTTGGGCGTGGCTGGCTGCAAAGACCTCTGCGAGGCGGCCTGGGCAGTTAGGGCAGAGAGGGCGAGGGAAGCGTTCGAGGACGTGGGGATCGGCGGCAAAGGACGGGAGAACCTTGGAAGACAGGAGGGGCAAGGGGTAGGGGGAGCGGGGCTCGCGGAGCGATGCAGGCAGCGGGAGGCACTAGGTACATTCCTTTCCACTCTGCCTTCAGCGATCCTCGGTTCTCGATCCTCGGGCCCAGATCCTCGACCCTCGGTTCTCAAGTCCTCGATCCTGATCCTCGAACTCTGCCGCTGCCGCGCCTCCGACAGACGTGCCAGACGGAGGACTGCGACCGCTGCGACGGGTGCTGCCTGCACAAGGACAGCGGGAGGGCGGGCGCGTCGCAGCGGCGTCGCGTGTGCGCGCGGGGGAGGGGGAGTTAGAGGGAGGGAGGGAGAGAGAGAGAGAGAGAGAGAGAGAGAGAGAGAGAGAGAGAGAGAGAGAGAGATAGAGAGCAGGCGGAAGAGAGAGGTGGTAAAGAGAGCGAGAGAGACAGATACAGATAGAGAGTTCCAGAGCTTGAGAGAAAAAGGCAGACAGACTGACAGAGTGACGGAGAGAGATAGAGAGAGAGATAGAGAGAGAGAGGGGGGGGACATATGCAAAGACAGCTCTGAAAGGTGGGGGTAGTGTCGAGAGGAGTATCCAAGACTGGCTACATTAAGATACGGAGGGATGTGGGAAGTGGAGGACGGGTTCGACGAGTCCCTGACTGTCGCGGTCTTTAAGGCGCCCTCGAGCACGCCCCTCAGCAAGTGCGCCTGGTTCATCGCGGGGAACACGGTCTACCCCATCAGGGGCACCAAACACTTCATCTTCGACGGTAAACGAGTGCGCCACGGCACGTGGCAGCCTGAGGCCAGCCGTGCCGATGGTGCTTCTTACGTTGGAGTTGCTTTCGTGGAGCAGTTCACGGGTCGCTCGCAGCAGCAGCGTGCGGCACCTGTGCCTTCGGTGCCTCCTCATCGGGCCGTGCCTCATGATAGCCGCGCCATCCTCCTGCCCATCCTGGGGGGCGAGGAGGCCGCCGCATCTTCGGCATCATCCTCCTCCGCCGGGAACTGATTTGAGCTGTGCGTTGCGAGCTGTTGGCGGCGCTTCGACAGCCCCCTTGTGGCGGTCGGCGGTCTCCGCAGAAGTGAGAACGATCTGTATATATACACACACACATATGTGTACATGTATGTTTATATAGATGTGTATGTATGCATACACACATACATAAGCACATACATACATACGTACATACATACATGCACACATGTACACATACACACATACACATACAATATACATGCATGCGTGCATACATACGCACACACAAGCATACGTACATACATACATATATACATATTCATACATGCACGCATGGATACATACATACTTACATACATACAAACATACACATACACATACCTGCTTGGGCACCCTCATACATGCAACGGTACATCACATTTGTACGTGTGTATACGTGTATATGTATAAGTGTAGTTATATACCCATACATAATCGTGTATATGATTATGTATACATATATAACAGAAATAACGTCCATGGGGACGGTGCGAATAGAATTAAGAGAGGTGTGCCAGGGGCGTGTCTCATCGGGTGGCTGCCGTGCAGGACTGCTAGCGTTCGCAAGGCCTAGGCCAGGCCGCGTTATTTTAAGCCCTTGAGTTTGTGAGCGCGGCCAGGCCGCGCATTCGATTATGGGGCTGGCCCGCCTGCCAGGGGAGGAAGAGCCGAGGGTAGGATTGAGCCAGAGTTGGAGGGAGGCCAACGTTTTGGGGCAGATGGGAAGGATAGGAGGGGGCAAGCGCAGCGGCAGGGAGGGGCGGAAGGGCGGGAGGGGGTGGAGGGCGACAAAGCATGAAAGGAAGAAATAGGCGTTCGTGGTGAAGGGAGGGGGGTACAGAGAAGAAGGCAAGCGCGTGCTGAACCCCATTCAGGGGCACGGGGCATGCTGTGCAGTTTTGCATGCCGCGGCTGGGGCGCGCCTAGGATGTTGCGGGGGCAGCTGTGCAGTTTACGCAGGCGTTCCGGCTTCGCCCATCGGCGAACAGAGCGTCTGCGCGTTTGCGTGTACGCGTATATACTACGCCAATATCATACATATCTGACCCTGAGCCTCAGAAATTGCGGCTGCCTCACTTCTTTGGCGGGCGGGGCGGAGCTGGGCAAGACTAGACTCGATTGGAGGTGTGGTAGAGGGTGTGTGAAAGCTGTCTGCCCGCCATACATACATGTGCAGCATGTTGTTGTACATCGACTTGTTGTACAAATACTGAGCAGCTCGTTGCATGATGGTACGTAGAGTACATAAAGTCGTTGTGCATAGAGCTGTTGTACATAGATTTGCTGTACATAGTGTTGACATACATATGTTTGTTATACTTACAGTGTAGGTAGGCAGGGTGTTGTACATATAGTTACCCCTTCGTTGGTGTGGGCAGTGTATATTGCATATGCCTACCACCATCGATCACGCACGTGTATGAGACACACCTGTGAGACGCCACTGAACTGACTTGACCTTGCGGCTGGATCTCCTTCCTTCCTCTGGCTCTTCTTACCCTCTTGCGCCAGCGCAGGTGCGATCAGCTGCGGTGCTGCGTGTACGCGGATATACTACGCGTTTATCATGCATATCTGGTCAGCCAGGGCGGGGGGGGCATAAGTAGGGAGGGCGAGGAGACGGATTGAGCTGGAAGAGGGCGCGCCGAGGGTTCGACGAGGTGAGGGAACATGCAGGCATCTGAAGCAGCTGAGGGTTCGATGAGGAGAGTCAAAGGGATGACGGAGGGAAACGCTGTGAGCTTTGAGCAGGGCAGGGGCAGGGGCAGCGCCTGCTTCCGTCGCGCGTCTGGGTAGGTCGTGATCTACATCACGGGCAGCGCGACGTGCTTCGAGCTCCTCGAGGCCGCGCGCCAGGGGGGGTGATGCAGGCAAAGGTCGCCCTCCGGCCCGCCATCTCTATCCCCCGCACTCTCTCTCTCTCTCTCTCTCTCTCTCTCTGTCACTCTCTCTCTCTCTCTCTCGCCCCGCGCGTCTCCTTCATGTCTCTGGCTCTCTCGCTCTCCCTCGCGCTATCTCCCACTACTCTACCCCGCCTCCTTCATGCCCCTCCCCTCCGTATAGCTCCCGCGTTGCGCGCATGACAGCGACGAGAGAATGTTGCACGTTGCATTGTGCGCGCAGACACTGCCACGACCATATAGATAGGATTCGTTACGCGCGGGGATGCGCGCATGCGCGAGCTCACAATTTCAGTGTTCATCGGATCTGAAGTCATGCGCCCTCCCCCCGCCCCGAGCTCTGTAAGCAGGAGCGCGCCAATCACATAGGAGATGAAATCACGCGGGGCGCGTCTGCAACGCGTGTAGCGGGTGATCGTCGCATGCAAGGGGGGAGAGCGAGAGATAGAGAGAGAGAGAGAGACTGATACATACATAGATACATGTGTAGATGCGTGATACGTATAGAGTTTAAAAACAATTTAATTGTACGTGTACACATATCGACATACCTATACGTACACATATATACATATAAACGTGACGCAGATATGGAGATAAAGAGACATGTATTGATACATATAAATGTATGTATTTATGGAACCATAGTTTGAGTTAGAGGTCAAGTTAGGCTCAGGATCCTTATATATCTAATATGTTTGTATGCGCACATGTATATGCATATCGACGTTTCCGATATGCCATGTCTGGACGCACTTCACGCCGCTTCTCAAGTTGAGTGGGCTTCAACCCATGATCACGTCGCAGTTTGCGCCCTCGCGGGGCAAGCGTCAGACCATGTCAGCTTCAGCTCATGTTGGGGTCCAGAGTGCAAGCGTTACAATTGGTTTGCGCGCAAGCAGGCGGGTGTAGCAGAGAAAGATGCACCGATAGAACGGGAGAGAGAGAGATAGAGAAAGGCAATGCGGCGGGAGAGGAAGGGCCTCCGCTGCCGAACGTTAGTCCCTGATTGAAATACCGCTGCCAGGCGCTATGGCTACAGACGCCGTGGTATTCGACGTCGCCACCTTCTTCGTCGACCACCGCTTGTTCGATGAGATCGTGAGGGGCAGAATGCGCATCACGAAGGTCGCCGAGTTGAGCCTGTGCCTCATAGGCCACAAGGACGCTGCCGGTCCATTGTCCCGATCTGGGATGACATCCCTCGTTAAGAAGGTGGTGGGGCGCCTTGTAGCTGAGAGGGCAGATGCCCAGTTCTTGAGGATGACCGATTCCACCGTGGACATCGACCTCTTGCCAGAGATATTGTCCAGCACCACAGGCCACGCCATTGGCAACGCAGAGATGGACGACGCATACACCCGGATCCGAGACGACCTCGCAGCTGCGGCCGCGCCGAAAAGGAGAAAGATTGGCGCGGCGCCAGATGTGCAGGCGCTACGGGCCGCCTCTTCGGGGTCGCTCGAAGGGGGCCCTTCTTCCGCGTCTTCAGCGGTGGTGCCGCGCGTCGAGGGGCCAGCGGGCGGCGCCCTTGCGCTTGCGCCGCTCGTGCCAAGCCGCGCCATGTCAGTGGAAGACTTGCTGCAGGTGATCGAGCGCAGGGAGGCCGACGTGGCCGCGTTGCAGGCAGACCTCGCTCGGGCGCAGAGCCAAGCCAGGCACTTTAAGAAGCGGGCGGCAGATCTCAAGGAGAAGCTTGACGATTCCCAATCAGAGTTGGCGCTGACCCGCGCGATGGTGAATTTTCGCCCTGGGCGAAGTGTCAGCTTGTTCGGCGGGTACAGCCTGGCGCTGCGCAGAAATATTGCGCACGCGTCCGCCCTTGCGACGGCGAAGATGGTGCTGGGGTGCGACGGCGAAGGGCAGAGTGGCAGGCAGCCCGTGACCATGTACGAGTTCAGGCTCGCGGCTGCCAAGGTCGTCCGAGCGAGAGGATTTTACGACCAGTGCGGCCACGGCCAGCAGGGCGCGCTAGACGTGCACCTCATTAAAGCCGACGCCACGAACTCGCAAGCGGTACAGAAAGCCAAAGTCCACGTCTCGATCATCCACAGCAGCTGCTGCAATCCCAGCGAGATTGTGGACGCGCTCAGCGCGAATGGCGAGGAGGTCTCGGCAGGCTGCGTCGCCCCGCACGTGGACGTCCTTTCTACCACTGGAGATTTATTGCAGGTGTGCGTGGGCAGTGGGGACGAGACGTACGCGCACTGTGAACGCCACTTCGAGAGCGTCCACTGCCCCACGTGGATGGAGTGCGCGCGCGCCGAACGCGCCCCCGGCAGGTGCAGCGTGTTCGTTTTCGGCGTCGACGCAGGCCCCGACAATATCGGCATGCTGGGCCGCGTGCAGCGGGACTTGGCAGGCATTGACAGCGCCATGTTCCAAGCGGTCTTTTGCTACCTGCACCAATCCCATCTCATCGTGAAGGACCTCCTCGCCCGCCTGGAGAAATGGGGATGGGGCCCGCTGAGCCCGGCGAGGCCGTACTGGGGCTCCGTCGCCACGTTGGCAAACGTGTGGCGCTCCCGCGGCATGCCCGCGAAGATCTGGGAGGCAGCTTTCGCCGAGTGCCCCACGAAGGCCATCGCTGATAAGCATTTCAAGAAGTTGCCGGGAAAACCCCTTCGGGGGCGTTGGGGCAGCATTGCGGCGATTGAAGGCCGAATCTCGGGCGCCGCGCAATTCCTCGGCAGCGTCTTTCGCAAAGTGCTGGAACCGCTCGTCGACCGCGACAAAAAGCGGAAGCCGCCCCAGCCGAATATCGCCGCCGACGAGGAAGGGGAGTACCAGGCTAAGCAGAAGAACTACAGGCGGACTGCGTTGATCTGCACGGGCTCCAACCTTTGGATGGCTACAGTCATGATCTCAGAGACGGCAAAAGGGCCCCTCACGACATTCCTTTTCTGGGCGCAGAAAAGGAAGAAGGAGTACGAAGCCCGCGTTCGGGCGGCCTTGCCCAGCGCGTACCTCGGTGCCTCTCCGCTCTCTGAACTCATGACTAAGAAAGCTTCCAGCGTGTACTCGGAGCTCGGGGAACTCCTGAGCGATGCCGCGATGGACTCGCCAGATAAGTGGGGGCGCGTGTGGGCCTTGGTTCCCGAGGGCGAGAAAGCAAAAGCAAGGCTCTTGATCGTCACGCTGGTGTTGAGGGCCATGGCAGGGTGGCAGATGAGGGTGCTCTGGAAAGCGGACGACTTCCCAATGTGCCTCTTGCAGGTTCTGGAAGCCCCCCGAGTCTCCGACTCAGAGTCGACGTCCGACCAGCGCAAGGGGATTGCCTATCGCCTGCTTCACGCCAAGGCAGGGCAGCTGAGCACATTCAGCGGCGACCTCGCGCTGAAAGCCAGGAAAATGTTTAAGATGGACTGGACGGACATGCAGGTGACTGGGGAATGTTCGGAACGACTGTACTGCTGGCTGCTGCTCGTGCGCTCGCGCCTCCCGCATGACACCCAGGACGTGGAGGGGATGAATTCGGTGTTGCAGAGGATGTGCGACGTCGCCCCGAACATCCACATCCCGCTTGCGTCAGACAGGATGCGCATCAAAATGGGGGCGCCCATCACGGCGGAAGAGTGCACGCAGATGCACCCGGCCATCATGGACTGCCTGCGCTCGCAGAAGCACATGCAGCGCTTCGCCGAGATGCCCGCGGAGCCCGCGCGGCCGCCCGACGGGCCTGCTCTGCCAGCCATTGCCGATGCGCCAGCAGACCGCCCGCCCGCGGAGCCCGCTCGGCCACCCGACGGGCCCCCTCTGCCAGCCATTGCCGATGCGCCAGCAGACCGCCCGCCCGCGGAGCCCGCTCGGCCACCCGACGGGCCCCCTCTGCCACCCATTGCCGATGCGCCGGCGGGCCGCCCCCCCGCGCGGCCCGCGCGGCCGCCCGCGGGGCCCGCGCGGCCGCCCAGGCCGTACGTCCCACCAGGCTCGCTTGAAGCTTGCAAGTACGCGAAGCCGATGGCAGGCCTTATGCCAGCATTTGCGGAGCAAGCCTTCTCATTCTCCCCGCCTGGCGCGGGCGGCCGACCTGCCTTTGTCATGTGCTGGGCCTACCGCCGCAGGGTCTCCATCGCCTGGGGCCGCTTGGACCCGTTGGGCGGGGGGAGCGCACTACTCCACTTGGACTTCCCCGTTCGGATCCAGAAGCTGACCGACGCACTTATTGACGTGATGCCAGCGGGGGGGGAGGCAATGACTGTGTGGCGCGGGAGCCTCAACTGGGTAACGCTCCAGACAGCTGAATTCTTCGGCGAGGAAGCCGTCGAGGTGTGGCCCCCAAAGCCGAAGCCGCGAAAAGGCGGCGCCGACGGCTCCGACGAAGACTCGTCAGAGGAAGACGACGAGGAAGACGACCGCGACATGGTGGAGTTTTTAGCTGACCTAATGGAGGGCCCAGACGAGTACGACGGCGGCGAGTCTGAAGAGGAGCTCGCTGAGCACCCCGAGGAACAAGAGCTCGATGCCGACGGGGACTTGCCCGACGGCGACGGGGGCGACACGGTCGGCGACCACGCTGAGCCTGATGAGGACGATGGCCGCGACAGCCCCATGGAGCCAGGTACAGGTACCCCGCGGATCCCGGAAGTGCCCGCTAAAGTGCGCGCTCGAGCCGCCGACGGTCGACGCATGCTGGCGGAGGCCGTGGCGCGAGCCAGGCGGGCCGATGGGGCGCCGCTGAGCCCTGGGACGGTCAGCATGGGAATCAAACCAGATGGCCACCCAGTCCTCATCATATGGACAGACCCAGCGAACCGCATTGGGCGACCAATGAGGATCGACGAGCTTGGCAGAATCATTGCTCTGGCCGCGTGGCTTCAGCCCAAGACGGACTACAGCGACGTCGCCATCACGGTGGCCGACACTGGCATGCGCCAGGATAGAGGCCCCAAGTCGCTGAGGACCCCAGCCGAGGAATGGGTCTTACTTCTGCGCCAGCAAGCCCTCACGAGGCTTCACCAGGGGCCTTTGGTCCCTGGCCGCGGAGAGGAGTGCGTCATCTGCGCTGACGCGCTGGAAGAGGACCCCAACGCGGAGCTGCCAGATGAGTTGGCGCTGCACTACCGTTGCCAGATGTGCCTCATGCTGTGGCACGACTGTTGCGCGAACAGGTTCGAGGCGCCCGTCGACTTCGACGAGTTTGTTTGCCCAGCGTGCGCGTAGGCCCTGGGGGCCGTGGATGCCCGCGGGCGCCGTGAACGCGCCGTGCTGCGACGCGGGCCACTACCTGCTCGATCTGAATTCGCTTGCGGCCAGCGACATGGTCGTGCTGTCGCACGACGCAGTGCGCAGCCCATATAGATAACGCAATCTACGGCTGCGGCGCGCCAACGCACCCACGAAGTGGATGCCGCCGCAGCAGCAGCAAATGTACTTCTCGCTGGGCGTTATACAGGAACGGCGATCGTTGTGTCGTTTCTATTCGAAGGTGCCTCGCCGCTTGCTTCTCTGTGTGGTAAGGGCGAAGTGAGGAGCGAAGCGCGTCTTCCTTCATACTTGTCACATTGTGTTTGTCCAAGTCGCCTGTCTCTCCCTCTGGCGACCCCGTCGACACTGGGGGACCTGGCAACGGCTGTGGCTGCAGGAGGTCCAGCATAGTGTTCACCCCAATAGCTAATAATTGCCGTTAGAGGTATGTATGTACGTATATACATAGTTTGTATATACCCCCTGCCCTTCATTACGTTATACGTTCCCTCCCTGCGCGGCCGAAAGAGGGCGGGCAGTGCGGCAAGCGCCGGCGCCTCTCCACCCCCCTCCGCGGAAACAGTTGGACAGGAAAACGAACACGCGGCATTCGAATTTGGGGGGGGGGATGATGAGGAGGGGCACGGAGGATGGTGGGCGGGCGCAGGGGGGCGGGCAGGCACAAAGGCTGAAGTTGGAGGGGCAGGGGGCTGGGGCAGGGGCGGCGGGGGGCGGGCAACAGGCGCCGCAACGGGCGCAATATTGTTGGTTCGAAGCGCGCCCATGGAACGTTTCAAACCTCAAACGTACGTCAAATCAAATCACGGGTTACATCGAGAAACCAATCAAAATACTGACCGTGATAGATATGTCTAGAGGTGTCGGTCGGGCGTTGGATGTTAGTTCGACGTCGCCATCGCCGTTGTTACTATTCGCATCGCTCTCGTCCCTGGCCACCTCATCCCCCTTTCCCGCGCGGCCCGCCCCCGACCCGCGCAACATGACGCACTCCCGCTGAGGCCATGGCCGGGGGGGATTGGCCTCGTTACAAGAGGTCGCCTTCGCATCAGTGTGCTCTCCTCGTACCTCACCCCCCTCTGCTGCCCGCGCCCTCCTTCGCCCTCTCGAGGCGCAGGAGGAGGGGGATGATGACCTCGCCCACATTACCCCCCTCCCCTTCCTTCCCGCCCTCTTCCGAAGAGTTGTTTAATCGCACCCTCTTATTCGCATTAGTGACCTCCCTTCTCCACGCTCGCTGGGCAGGGCCAAGCGCTCTCACTCATTCCCCTCAGCTGACCCCCCCCCGTCATCGTGTTGCCGCGCCAGGCGCCTGACCAGCAGAGCATCATCATGAGCGGGGAGGCCGGCGTGGTGCCGGGCATCGGCGAGTACGAGACGGTGGAGGCCGCTCCATCCTCTCCTCGCGGGCAGCGGGCGCTGGGAGGCCACGCGGGGGTAATAGTCTCGAGGGCCCGCGCCCATGCGTTGCAGAGGGGCCTCACAGTGCTATCCAGGTTAAGGTCTAGAGGCAGCGCGTTTCCTGCAAATGCAGCCCCAGCCCCTCAGCTTGAACCACAACCGCAGCCCTCAGGGGGGTCGTAGAAGCCAGCAGGGGGGGGGGGGTGCATCACGCGCCCGGGTCCTTGGGCAGGGCAGGCGCGGAGCGTCTGGTGGGTGACCCCCCTTGCGCGCGCAAGCCCTGGGCGGCGGCGCGCGGCGCATGGCGCGCGCTGCCCAAGCGTGGGAAATAACATCATACGGACCGGTACATAGGCAAAACCACTGCGCGCCTCGCCGGGCCGCGCCGAATCGCGCAACCCACCTGGGCGCTAGTGGCATCGGTTTGTCGACCCTCGGCGCGAGGAGACCACATCTGGACCCGGGTCTATACACCTGGCTCGATAGGACCCCCCCTACGGACGGGAGGCCCATCGAACTCATTGTATGGGCGACGGGATGTTGGCGTTCTATACAACCAGTTCGATGGGACCCCCCGACATCAGGTGCTATACAATCGCTTCGATAGGCTACCTCCCTGGTCCGAGGCCCATCGAATCAATTATATGGGCGACGAGGGGCAGACATTCTATACAACCAGTTCGATAGGACCCTTTTGGTTTTGCTGCCCAGCCAGCCAGATCTGGCCCAGAACAGGCTGATCCATCCATCTCGTTGTATAGACCCGCCCTGGGGGAGGGTCTATACAACGAGATGGCTGGATCAGTAGATTTTGGCACCCTTCGGGCCTCCTTTTTTTTTGTGTTTTTTTTTTTCTTTTTGTTTTTTTTTCCTTCAAAAAATGATTTGTTTTTTTTTTGTTCCTAGATTTGTTTGCTTTTGTTTTTTTTTGGAATGTTGTTTGTTTTTGTTGTTGTGAAAACTATGTTTTATGCGCGTGTATGGCTTCGTCGTGTTTTCTGTTTGTTCATGTTTTTTTTCATTGTTGTTGTTTTGGTGTTTGTTGTGTTTGAATATGTTTTGCTTGCTTGTGTTACTTGTGTGCTTGCCCCTGTCCCTTTTCCAGTTATCTTATTACACAAACATGGGTGTTGTTGGTGTCGTTTGCAAACAGCCTGCGATGTGTGTTTGTTATCAGTTTGCATTGATGGTTTGCGCTTTGTGTGTTTATGATAGTTGCCGTATTCTTTATTAATATTGGTTCGCTTTCTCGTGTTGTTTGTGCACTGCGTTGGTCGTGTCGCTTGTGGCGTGTGTGTTGGGTGTGTTCTGCATGTGTGCGTGTGGTGTTTGTTTGCTGTACTCCTGTTGTGTTCAAGTGCGTGTTGGTGTTGCAGTTCGACGGCGACGGACGACGCCTGGGGACCCGCGACGACGACGGCCGACGACGGCCGACCCATGTCGACGACAGATGACGACAGACGACGACGACGGACGCCGACGACCGACGACGGACGACGACGTGCGACGACGGACGACGCCGACGACGGACGGCGGCTCGCGAGGGACGACGACGACGACGACAGGCGATTGCGGACGACGAAGAACGACGGCGACGGACGACGTCTCACGACCGACGACAGGCGACGACGGACTACGATGGACGACGACGGGCGTCGACGCACGACCGACGACGACGACGACGACGGACGACGACGGACCCGACGCCAGACTTCGACGGACGACGACTCACGACCGACGACGACGACGACGACGACGGACGACGGCTCCCTCTGGGCCCCCACCCACTCCCGCGCCGCCCCCCGCCAGGAACGGTATGGCCATGGGAAGACGACCTTGGAATATCTTGAAGCCGTGAACGACGAGTTCGTGCTGCACAAGGACAAGCACGTGAAGTTTATCTCCAGCACCGGCGAGTTCACTATTGCAGGGGGGGGGTCTTGTGAGCCCGTCGAGTCGCCCGATCTGCTGTCGCGTCGGGGGTGGGAGGTTGTGTCGCGTGCCGGGCACTTTGCGCACAGCTGTGGCATTTCGGATGAGTTTGCGGGCCTGGGTCAGCCTGCCTTCCTCTTTGCAGTTCTCCCTCATCCGCTGTCTTCCTTGGCCAGCCCCCATTGTATCTCGCATCGCCCCATTCGCTCCGCACCCGCCCCCAACGCCTGCTCACCGCCCCCTCATTCATGTTACTCTCCCGCCCACGCGCCTGATTGCAAAGGGGGCGCGCAGCGCATGAATAGGGCCATCGTCTTTGCAGCGGGCCAAGAGGGGAAGACGAGTGCCAGGGGGGCAATGTGCTCTATGCCTGTACGTCTGACCTTGACCTCTCTAGTCCCTGGGAGTCTCGCGCGTTCAGCCCTTGATGTCTTCGCTGTCTGCTGCGCTGCGGTCCGCCCGCGTTGCTGCGCCGTGCACATGTAGCTCTCGAGGCGGTGCAGCTGTCACTCGTTACTTTCTTTTTTGCTCGTTCCTGGAATCTCTCGTCGCCTGCGCTCGATGCCGCCGCTGCCTGCGCCCCGCATTGGGGAGGGCCGCCACAAATGGAACGACCGCGGCGACGAGGCGAGCATTCTCCAACGGAAAGGAAGCATTGAGTCCATCGGGCTCCTTCACGACAACAAGGGGGGGGCCTACTTGATACAGCATGAAGACGAGAGCAAAGAGGAGCTGGGGACGGGGCTTGATTGGACATGGTAGGGGTACTGTAGCCAACCGTCGGTAGCCTTCCCCTCACCATTCATCATTGTCGGTTTCTTCCTCCACCGCTCCGCTTGCAGAGCCTCTTGGTCGAGTCTGCGCCTGCGCGCCTCGCCCCCAGTTGTGATCATCCCCTTGCCCCTTGCCCTTGCCCCTCCACTCCTGTTTCTATTCGCTCGCTCCCCCCCCCCCCTTCCTGGCCCGCCCCCCAGCTCCTCGGGCGCCCCCCCCCCGCCCGTCCTCCGCCGCATCCAGGAGTACTGGGACGCCATCCACGGCGCGACGTTGGCGCAGGGCTTGAAGCGCGCCTGGGAGGCTGACGTGCACAGGAAGAACCCGAATGTGCAAAAGAGGGGCACGGGGGAGCATAATGATAATGACAGAGCATGGGTGGCGCGCGTGAGTCCCGATGTGCAGGCGACGTCGCATGCACGAGTGCGCAGACGCTCAGCATTGGGGGAATCGCAGCGACGATGGTGGAGCAGAGGGGTTGAGGGAAGTAGCGTAGCGTTGCACGGCGTGGAGTAGGACGGCTAGCATGGCGCGCGCAGGGATCGGGACAATGGCACGAAAAGAATACAGGAGCCGGATGCGTGCCCCTTCTCCCCCCTGCGACTGGGCAGGAGCATCGCTGACGGGTGGCCGCACTGCAAGTGCTACAGGCGGGCCATCACCTACGGCTGCATCAAGTTCTTGAAGCGGGTAGGGAACTTGACCAACGCGAATGCAACAGCGGGGTTGGGGCGCAGTGCATTCCTCATGTGCAAGCTGTATGTGTGCATCTGCAGGTGTCTATATACATATATAAATATATTCACGTATAGGTGTGCGTACATGCACGTGCACGTGCATGTTATAACGGCCCTGCGTTCCAGCGGGAGCGATGAGAGCGACTGGCGAGCAGGGGCAGCGAGTGATACATATATACATATGAATATATATATATATATATATATATATATATATATATATATGTGTATATGT